TGTGCGTGCAATGCAAATTGTCAAAGAAAATTTATTCCAACTACTGAATGCGAATTTTCTAGAGCGCCAAAAGTTAACCAAATATGTCAATTGAATGCTTTGTGTGGCAGTGATAAAGGGGATCGGAGTTGCCAGGGAAGGGGACGTGGCATGTGGCAAACAACAAACAAAGCGCAGGACCAACTAACCAAGAACGGAGCTTGTAGGTTAAAAAGCAATTTATCTTTGACTTTTGCCAAGTAAATTCCCGCCATTGTCTAAAGTGGTTCAAATGCCCAAGTCCTCGTCCTCGAAGTATTTGTGCTGCCATATACTCGTATGTGTTTTTAGTGTTAGGATGCCTTGGAGTTGTGGGCGGTTAGTTATGTGTGGATGTGGCAAAGGCACATTTAACTTAACTAGTTGCCATTCCGAGTATTTTCAACCACTCAATTACACCGAACCACAGACATTCAATTGAGCAGCCATATGCAGCTTAAGCAAAAGGCAAACAATGCAGCACCGAATGGAGAAATTATAGCAGTTGCCATTGCCGTTGCAGTTGCAAGTTGCCCCTTTTGCCTGCTGGACTTTTCAATAAATTCTCCGTTGGCATTTGGAAATTTGATCAAAACAGCACGTAAAACTATTTGAACTGCTAACCCAAATAAGCTGGGGCATACAGCCATCCAGCCACGTCGAACCACTTTCCCCCTGCCCCAATCCTTTCCCCACGTCGCGCCAATGAACTGTGTGCAATCAATAGATGCGATTCAAGTTGCTGCTGCAGTTGTTGCAGTTGTGCAGTTGCTGTTGCAGCAGCAACACGAGCTACAAGATACTTTCTGTGCAACCATAGAACTTCCCACATGCAGCAGCGGAATGCCATGGAATGTGCACACGCATCTTCGACTGCCATCCGATCTCCCAGCCTCCCCAGCCACCCCAGCCAACCCAGCTTTTCCCATCTACTCCATCTTTCCGCAGTCTTGCGGTGGGTGTCCGCGTCTTCCTTCTCCAAGCCCGCTTTCCGTTCCCCTTGCAAATTCCCCTGCTGCATGGCAGGAGCTTACATTTATGCGCGAAATTGTCGTATGCATTTGCACATTCATAAATTCTCGTTGAGCGCCCCCGAAGCGACAGCAGAGCACAGCCCCAAAGAATGCTTTCTAGACACAGCAAGGAATTTGCTAGGAATCTCTGAAACTAACTGAAATTGTGTATAATGGAAATGTGGGACCATAAAAGCATTACTACGTCAAATGGGATATAATTATTCAATTGCGAATTGGGAAGTGCAGCACTTTTTTTTATTCCCACAAATGATAATTGTTTTTTTGTGAAATATTTGGGAGATGTAACTTTTTGCACTGTACATTACATGCCATTAGAGGAAGGGGTAGCGATCTGATGGTGCACAAATAGTTGGCAACCCGTTCCACTGTCTGCCAGCTGATGCTGCTTGCTCGTGCGGCATTTAAATTTCCTTTTTAATTTTATTTTTTAGAATGAACTTTTTTTTCATACTCTCCATCTTCCTGCTGCAGGCACATTTTATTATTGCATTTTACAACAACGCGGGCAACCTTAGAACAGCACGTCATTAGGCGATAAATTATCTCGTGCGCGTTGCATTTTGCATAAAATGTTGCCGCTGCCTTTGGATTTGGAGCGGTAAAAGTGTGCCAACGCTGCAGTTGCAGCTGTGCCAGCGGAGGCAGCGGCATTAAAGGATGCCAGGCAATTTGAATTTGCGAAATTCCATGGGGGCCCAGACCCGTTAGTTGGCGGCCGAGGCCGAAGCCGATGCCAGGCAGTGGCAGTGGCAGTGGCAGAGGCAGTGGCAGAAGCAGAGGCAGAGGCAAGCCGGCTTATCTATGCACAAGATGTTGCCGTTTTGATAAGCTCGGCGCAGCAGCCGGCAATTTATGTGCCGCTGCTGCAGCAGCAATTGCAGTTGCAGTTGCATTCATCATTAACTGCAGCAGCAGCGGCAGCAACAGTTGCTGCCTGGAATGCACTGTGGCGAAGCCGCACTGTGGGAGATTCGATCGAGTTTAGCTCGTTAAAACGCAATCCTTTTAAAACTAAGATAGCTATCATTCTTGGGAAAGAGTAGTTCATACTGAAATATTCCCTTAAAAACTGCTTACAGTTGCAAGCCTGGTTTTTAATAGCTACTTTCTATACAATCACTGTTGGAAAAGGTTAAGCTAAGCTGTAATAAAATATTGGCTGATTGACACCAGAAATTTCCAGCTAGATCGTCTGAATTCCCATTGTGCGGCGACGTGCGTTCAACTATGCAAATTTGTGCAGCAGCGCCCAGTTCCCCGCCTTCTCGTTTTCCCCAGGAACCAAGGAACCCATCTCTGCTGCAATCTGCCCCCCACACTATTGACTTGCAACTTGCTACAACTTAGTAAGTGCAGATGGGAGTATATACTGTAGGTATATATACTTGTCAAACAGCATTCAAGCACGATTCTGGGATGCATTCCTCTGCGCTGAGTTGACTGGGAAGACAGACTTATGCATTGCTTTGACTACGACAGATTTTAATACAAATGAGCTGAAATTATATAGGGTTGCATGGTTTATAGAAGAATCCCGGGTAGAGGGGAAGCGGCAGATAGATAACGTGTTGTCTGGACGAAAGCTGGATGTCATGACAGTTCAATCACCGAGATTGCCGATCTTGTTTGCAGCTGCGTTGAGTTATGGCCAGCGATGATGGTCTCCAGAAGCGATCCAGCACAATTGATAGCTCCCAAGCCAGCCAGTTTAGAAAGCTGTGGAATAGTTACAATTGGAAGTGAATGTCAAGCACATTAAATAGATGGCTCTGTGCGAGCATTGACTCCTCGAGCAGCGAAGCAATTAATCTGCAAACTTAACGATTTCCCGCTAACGACTCCGAAACACACACGAGCAGAAAGGTTTAAGGGTAATGCTGCTGCTGACATGTCCTTCCATCACCCTCCTTCCATTTTACCACCCGACTATCCAAGTATCCAAGTATCCGAGTATCCGAGTAACCGAGTATCCAACCCTCAAACAGGCGATGACAAATGGCAAATTGCAGCACGGCAAGGTGTGCGCACTGGATGACAAAAAAATCGCTGAACTTTGACTCTCGAAAACCGAGCGTCGTTAGCGGCGGAGTAGTTGCCAAAGCGCAATTAAACGCCCCGCCATTGAAACAATTACGCTATAACAATTACGCCCTGGTTGCACATGCAACTGCTACTGCACTTGCACTTGGAAAAGCAATAAGCAATTTTTAATATCCTAGTCTAACTAATTATTATTGCCTAAAAGTACTTTAAGTTTCAGTATCACAAAGGCACAGCGTTTTTTATACAGAGATCATAAACACTCTTCCTGTTTGGTTTAGTGTTCATAGTGTTCACAGCTTAGACTTTTAAACATTTTTGTTTTACGATTTCTCTCGGTGCACCTGTGGCTTCCCCTCGGTCCGAGCTTCCTGCAACCCCTCATCCGTGGAGGGCACTCTGTGTTTGTAAATGTGCCGCACTTAGCGGGACGCAGTAGCTCCATTGCTGACGTGGCCATCGATGGCATTTCCATGCGTCAAATTGCCGCCGGGGCATTGCGTGTAATTACAGCAATAAAAATTGCAACACATTGCATACAAACATGCAACATAAGCGGGGCGAATTCCAGAGTCGAAAGAGCTAGAGCCAGAGCTTTAAGATACATCCCTCCCAGCATGTTCAGCAATTATCTAATTTATAGTAGTCCATTTATCAAAACCGAAACAAATATTCAGTTTCCGAGCGCAGCTAGCAAAAAAGAACCAACCGTCTTGCCACAATTTGTGACTGACTAACGAGCAGTCAGCACATTCAGCATTCGGCAACAACCGAGTGCACTTGGCCACTTGGGTGGCAGGCTGATTGGAGCTGCATGGTTGTGATGGGGCTTTTTTTTTCTAGGAGGGGGGCTGGAGGATGTCCGTCGAGCGGAACGCTAGTTGATTGCATTTTTAGCATAAATTTCAACGCATTTGACTAATGTCCCGACATTTGTTAAGGGGTTCCACTGCCGCACTTGGCCATTTTTCACCCGTCAAGTACTCAACCTGGCATTGGCCATTATCATTTCCACTTCCCTGGAACTCACTTGTTCTGCTAATAGATAATGTGATGCCTGATGGACGACTTTCGACAATGTCGTATGCAAATCTCCGCTGCTGCCCGCTGGCCATGTAATTGTTTCAACTGCTTAATATCACGTATACGCACCGTCGGACCGTTGCAGCTACGGGCGCAGACGTCGCCATGGCCGCGTCAACAGCAGAACAGCAGCAGAAAAATTAATTAACACGCCAAGTCTGCCTGGACACGCCTGCAGCACGTAGCGGAGACTCCAGCTCGGACTTGGACACAGACCGAAAACCAGAGCCGTGGACTTGCCCAGAACCAGAGCTAGAAGCATTACCCCAAAACTCACTGGAAAAAATTGGGCCTCCAGGGCCCACATTATGTGTTATCTAACCTGGTCCGATTAGGTGTTATTTGATTCTATCATAATTACAACAGTAATTTTCATAATTACATCAGTAATTTTCATGATAATGATATGATTACCTTGAATATTTCTTTCAAAATGAATGCCTAGAGATTTTGTTTCAGTGCGTAGCAATACCCTGTGCCCAGCACGGCTCCGTTGTTTGGCAGTTTCTATTTCTCAGATTTTTTTCTGTGTGCTCTGGGTATTTATGGGCATTGCAGTAAAAACCTCGATGCAGTTGTGGGAGTATGGGCGGACTGGGGCGGTGTTAAGTGAAAAGCGTGAAATTTATAACAGCCAATAGATTAAGCTAGAATATAAATAACATTTCATTTTTTGTTTTTTGTGGCCCGGTTTCTTTGCCCGACTCATTGTCCGCCTTTTGTCTATTGTCTGGCCAATGGGCGGAGGATTATTGGAACCAATAATTTAGACGCGTCGCGCCAAGCACAGATTCTTAATCAATTGTTTTTGCTCTTTTGCAGTTGCTGCCGCCGTCGCCCAACCGAAGAACTCAACCGCACTACTGCCATATCTGCAGATCCAGAAGCACGCCGTCACAAGACTGACCATCAGCAAGCCCCACTCCCCGTACTATTTGCCATGCATACCCATCCTAGCGCCCTACAACCACGATCAGGGTGAGTGTATTTTATGAGATTGCATAGAAATGCAATAGAACTGAGTACTTACTAACATTTTCGATCTGTGGCACAGACAACCAGCCCATCTACTGCAGCTGGTATCGAAATGACGTGGTAGTCGAACAAGTATCGTATCGCAAAAATGACTTCTTTATCTACGACAATGGTACGTTGCGACTGCCCACCAATGAAAAGGCCAGCGGCGAGTATTATTGCAAGATCGAGTGGGATGAGTCGGCGGTGATATCCGACAGAATCACTGTCGAGTATCCAGGTAAGTGGTCCTTTAGACTAAAGATACATCTACGAATTCATTTTTAATTGATGTGTTTATGCTTTTCAGTGCTCAAGCGGCAATTTCCTGGCCAACAGCAGACGGCCAACATCAGTGCGTTGGAAAACAAACCGCTCGTGCTGAGTTGCCCCTTTCTGAGTGTTCCAGCTGCCCGTTTTAGCTGGTACTTTGGCAACGATTCCCTGACCAATGACAACAGGCGAGTAAAGATCAGTGTTGAAGCATCGAGCAGCGGGCCAATACTCGTATATATGCCTATATACTTGGAGAGCTTGCCAGCTGGATGGGTTGACCCACGCTTGAAGTGACCATTAAATGTTGTATATTAAATATCTAATAAATTACTGATTATTGCAGTGCTCTCATCCTGTCAAATGGCACCCTAATATTGAGGCATTTGCGTCTGGAACAGGCGGGTAAATACAAGTGAGTAAAAAGAAAATCCAGTTTAAGGGTTTTCCTAAATCAACATCAGTTTAAAGCATATTTAAACAGCCCTTCAAAATGCAGTTAAAGTTAACTGCTAGTTTCCGTATTGCACTTTTAAACACATGCACATTTAACTTGCTGTATATGTACTCGTATAGTTTCTCTGCTGGGTTACTGCTATCCCGATCTGCCCAGTTTAACTAAATTAAGTCCGAGGGCAATTTTCCATTTGGCTGCTGCTGCTGCTGCTGCGGCTGCTGCCGCCGCTGCGCTCCACCTTCGCCTTTGTGGCAAAATCAACACCTTTTGCGGCACTCCATCAGCAGACCCACTCCCATGGCACACATACTAGCATGCACGCACCACTCGCACCGCCGGTGTGCCCTTAAACAATGCATTAATTAACACTTAGCGGCGGCCGAGTGGTGGCTGTAATTGTGGCCATTGTCCATGTCAATTATCGCACGGGACCACTGACCACTATGCATTATCCATTATCCACTATTCCCATTGCAGATGCGTGGCCCAGAATACATTTGCCAGCAAGACGCACCGTCAGTTCATTTGGCAACTGCAAGTGGAGCCAAAGGATGCTACATTTTATCCCAAAAACGAGGCGGGAATTACGGAGACATCCGTTTCGGAGGCCCAACTACTGCCGGCGTTTCAGAATGCAACGGTTTTCGTTGCCGCCGGCGGATCCGTGTTGCTACAATGCCACGCGGTGGCAGACTTTGTGCCCATTGTGTGGTACCTCCAGCCGGCGAACAACAAGATGGTTCGCCTGAGCAACAATAGTGTCGCCTATTCCATCACTAATGCTAGTATAGACCGGCATGAAGGACGCTACAGTTGTATAACGCCACTGGAAACGCAGAACTTCCAGGTGATTGTGACAACACCACCGAGGATTGTGAGTCGCCTGCCCGTCGAGGTGGTGTACATTGGTCTCTCGAGGACACTTACCTGCCGGGCAGAGGGTCATCCGGAGCCGAGTATCACCTGGTACCACAACGGGGTCCATCTGAACAGCTCCTATACACGGTACATTAGCGGTAATGAGTTGCACGTCCACTCGTTTGACTCCAAGGAGGAGGGCATCTACCAGTGTGTGGCCAGAAATGTGGCTGGTGAGGATTCGGCGACGGGTGAGCTGCGATTTAACCGGCAGCTCGAGGAGGTCAACCCACTGCAGAACATTCGCTGTTATCCGCACAGCTTCCATTCGATCAACATCACTTTTGACAGCCGCACCCTAACGTCAATGTTTGTGGTCTATATTGTGAGGAATAATCCCCACAGTTGGACCTCGTTTTCGCCCATGAAGCTGAATCAGACCTCCTACGTGGTGATATCTACTGATTTGCCCGTTTACGAGCCTTTTGCCTTGATCACCCGTGTTTTATTTCCCACAACAGAGGTGAGAACAGGAACTTTGGTTCCCCAGCAGATGATTCTCAGCTCGCTAAGAAGTACACCAGTCACGTGCTGCACCCAGGGATGTAAGTGTTATAACTTTCCTAGAAGTGCCAACAGAATTTCTTATATTCTTTATATTTTTTAGTAATGCTTCGACCCATTGCCGTGGGAAATGACACGTTTGTTAAGTGGTCGCAGGGTCAGTTGGAGAACAAGAAGTATTTTATCCTGCAGTTCTCGATCAACCACACCCATCCGCATCCTGCACAACTGTTAAATGGATCTCTACAAGGCACCTTGACTTCTGTCGAGGAAAAAGCCGACCAGGTGCGACGCCATCTGACCGCAGTCCAGCCTCTTAATCAATCTGCGGCAGCCACAGTGCTGAGAAATGTGGAGCACGAGGACAACGTTGTCGATGACACCCTAGAACTGGAGGATGACATATTTAGTCTTGTGGTGGATGCCAGCGTAACAGGAATTTTGTTGCAGAGATTCACGCGCATCAAAATGAGAGTGCTGATCATCACCACCGAGAATGAGTACCTGGGCCAGGACTTTCGCTATGTTCAGTGGAAGATTGTGAGTAGACTATACTGTAGGGGATTATTGTGTCATCTCTCTAGGAGCCCATCTGAATGCAGGTTCTAATATGGCTTGAACAAATTTTTCCCTTGCAGATCGAGAATGGCACTTCGGAGCAGTCAAATATGCCCTTTCGTTTGGTCACCCGTGAGTCTCGGGCCCTGGCCTTTAAGTTTCTGGATAGCCTAAATGAGACTTGCGTGCTGGAGTGCCACACGGAGATACAAGCACAAATGTCATTACCCAGCCAGGATCCAAAGTGTCAGGATCGAAATATTGCCAACTCGTTGCTGTTGGTCACAGGTCTTAAGCCAGACACTCGCTACAATCTGCATTTCTACAACTGCAAGACACATATTTTCTATGGCGACATAGACGAGAAGACCGAGCAGGATCGTAAGTAAAACACTCACTTGCTGCTCACTGCCACATTGCAAGGATTGTATTTTATAGCTCCTGGTACCATCAGCAATTCGAAGCTAATTAAACAGAATGGCCTGAAATTGATGTGGGAGCCACCGATTAATCCCAATGGTCGTGTCCATCACTATGATATCCGTTGGTCCTTGGACAATGTAACGCACGAAGCTATTGTCAAAGAGTGCACCAAATGCTCATATAAGGTAATTAAAACATATGGAGTACCCTTTCGCTGTATTTATTTTCATATTCTTTGTTAGTTCCCAAATGTCTCGGAGACGGCGAAAATCCACGTGGCAGTTCGCGTGATGGGTGATACTGGAGCAGGAGCTCCCATGTACTTTGACATGATAAATAATAACCACACTTGGCTGAAGGAGGAAAGCGAAACATCTCATTCGGAGGTTTACAGTGGGATTGCCATAGGCTCTTTGCTGTCAATAGCTTGTGTCTTTCTCTTTGGGCTGTTTATAATTTTCCAGCAGCGCAACTTCAAGGCCCGCGCCCAGGGACCCAGCCACCTGACCACACCCACTGATATTAATTTCGGTAATCTGAGCAGTGCCTCAGGGATGCCGGGAGATAGTGCTGGCGGTCTGAGTGGCGGAACATTGCAGCAGGATTGCCACGAGATGCAGACTCTTATTCCGCGTTCTCGTTACCACATTGAATTGTTGCCGGAGCACAGTTTGGAATACCAGACCAGCACGGCGGCCGTGGCAGTTGTTCATCTGGCCAATGGCAATGGGAGTGTCCAGGTGGCGAGGCGATCGGATCAAGATGGAGCGGCTCAGGGGGACTTGGGCATAGCCGGAGTGCACAACCTATCGCAGTTGCCGTTGTGCGGAGTTGGAGGAATATCGCCGGAGCGAAAGACCGTGCAGGATGCCATGTTGCAGGAGGCGAAGGCATTTTATATACCCTATAGGCATACGCCACCCAACGCGGTGGCTTTGAGCAGCTCCAAACAGTGTGCGGTGCCCAGTGGCTCCGAGCTGGAGGTGATTGTGCCGCCAAATTCGCTGCCATTGGTCACCACCATGCCTGGACTGGGTGTGGTCGGCGGCGGTGGCGGAGGTGGTGTAGGTGGCTCCAGTCGAAGGAGTGGAAGCCTGAGTAGCAGCAGTGCTAGCAGCAGCAGCAATGGCAGCAGTAAAAAACAATTTCACACCAACTTCGTACGCCATTCGAATTCCAATGATGGAATTTGCCTGCTGGCCGAGGAGGAGGCGGCTGCCACCTTAACACCCACCTCGGAACGCGAGTATGCGGCCGTATGCCTCACCAATGGTTTCAAACTGCCCGCCGATGTGGCCAAATCAGGGGGTGGTACGTATAACACCACCAACAATAACAATAGCAGCACTAACACTAGCCAGAAATCAGCAAATGCCAAGGAGCGTCAGCCGCGAGGCAATGGCAATCCGATCTCGTTCAGCCACAATGCATCCAAAGTTCCTGCCAACGGACCAGCGTCCGTTAACGTAAACCATTCGTCGGCGGTCAAGCAATCTTGGCCAGCGGCGACCGTGGTCCATCGACGTGCCCAGGTGGATCCCAATGGGTGAAGCAAGCAGTATTTTTATGAAGCTACTACATAGAAGCAAGCGAAACAAAACAAATGGAAAGGAGATGGGCGGAAAATTATATAGGAGAGAAAACCACATTCACAGCTCGAAACATTCCAAAAGAATATTGATTATGGAGACGATGATGATTAGGTCACTACGATGATTAGCATTTATAAAGAGTACATTTTATAAATGTAAATATTTAGTAACTGAAACTATGGAACTATGGGAGAAATGATTAATTAAGCTCATATTTATACACATGTATCTACATACACTCGTATACAAAGCACGTACGCTAAGTTGTATGCTATAGTTTTGTCGCGTTTCAACGTTTTTACCGTACTTTTGTATTTGTTTAGTTTTTGTTTGTTTTTTCGTTAATTGAGGCTCATTTTTACATGTAACTTTTCTTACACATAAACATAATTTATTGTTGCTTTCGATGCACACACACATAACATAACACATGCACACCGAAATACATAAGTACATAGCAATAGACCGCGCAGCCCGCAAGTATACATTACAATATTTGTCGCTGATAATTACTACGTTTAACAATTACTTCGTAATTGCCGCAAAAAAATTCAATTACACTCACATAGAATAAATGTACGCAAACAGAACAGCCAAAAAACCACAAATACTGCAATAGCCCACACTCAACCACCAAACTACCCAAACCACTCAAATACCACTCAACCACAATAGTCACAAGTGTTCACATCGATTCCGATTTAAAACGTAATCTATTCAATAATATTTGTAATTTTATTTTATTTATATTTGTAGTCCTTTTTTAAGTGAAATGTTTAATTTCCGCATATTTACTGCTGCATTTTGTTTTGTTTACACAACCGATATATCAAATGTACCTGATTATATTCATTTTGCATTCTTGTTTTTGTGCTCTCGGTCTCACACACACTTTCCCTTTGAAAAAGGAACAATTCCAATTTGTGCACACATCCATATTGCATAACTCTATAATAAGCCACATAATCCATCGCATTGCAGCCGATTTGTAACCTACATAATAAATTCACCAACCGTACCTCGACATCAAAGCTACGCCAAACGAGAAACTACACAAACCGAGCTCCTGCATCCTCCATTCCACTGATATTATTTTTGATAGGAATTGGAAAGTTGATTCAGTAGCCAACACAACGAAGTGTGAACTGTTGTTCTGTGCGAAACGAGATGCGAAAATTGTTACGAGATTCAGAGACAGAAACACAACCATGCACACACCTACCCCCCAAAAACCTAACAACTATAGAACTATATAATATACATTCCACTGGCGTATGCAAGTCGCAGATACATTGTACACACACATATGACACCAATTGGAGATACGTTTTTAAATGACTAAAACAAGTACGAGAAAATAGATATATATATTCAATGTGAACAAAATGTGTTTGAAAACTGTAACTGTAACTGTATACGTATTTAGAGTCTAAGTGCAATACCAACAAATAATTAAATAGCAAAAGGTAACCTTTAAGATCCCTGAGGCAGAACAAAACCAACAACTATAAACAATAGTACCTTTCCACTCAACCAGAAGCAATGTTCAAAGTAGACTCACCTCGAACCCAGTTAGTTGCGACTTAGACCATCCGTAAATAAACAATCTGATTTGTGTTCAAGCGGAATGAAGCCGCAGACTTTGAACTTCCGAGTCACCGAAAGGAGTTACCAGTTTGTATAGCCGAATAATTTTACAATTTACAAAACCAATGTGCATGCAAAACTCAAAAGCCACAAAATGAACTTTAACCTACGAAAGCATTTAAATACAAAATATATTCCGAAAGAAAAACTCAAAATTCCTAACTAAATAAAAAACAAAAAAAGCAAATAGAATGAATCGAATGAAGGAAAAATCAATTTTAAACGTTACGAACATTATGAAAACCAAAATTAACTAAACTATTATATGCATCAAAAGGCAACAAGAAAATTTATGTACTAAAGTTATAGAATTAGGCGTAAGAAATCCATATGAATGTACGTGTTTGGAAAAATCGAGGATAAAATGATGATGCGGAGAACTGGAGAAATTAAGTAAAATAGCTGCGATTGTGATCGCCGTGTAAGTGGATGTGATAAATGTTTAAATTATTTAAGCGCAAAAACAATAAAGAAATACAGAAATTAATTATTAGGAAGACAAAGATAGAAATGCGTATTGCGACTTTTGCAACGGTTTTTGGCCAACGGAAACCACTCTAACTAAGAGTCCACTAAAATTGTAAGCAAACAATTATTATGTTCTTATCTTTGGCGAAACTGCTGCTCCTAGCACACTCTCTACTAAGTCTACGCATTTAAACATAAAATTAGTTATGCGTATATTTTTTAATTTTTGTAATTTTAGTTCGCATTTAAGCCCACATTTTGTATACCTCATTAGTAGAGTGGCGAACAACTAAATTGTGTAAACATATAAAGGCTTGGTTTCTTCGTTTTACAATCAGAGCGGAATATTTGAACTATTCATAATTGAACAAACGAAAAAAAAAACTAATGTATTTTTTATGCAATTTATATATGCATTGTACATGCAAGCGAAATTAATTATTTCAAGCAACTGAGCTGCCAACGATTCGTGTTAAAGATTTTGATGCAAGTTAATTGGCCACTATCAACCAACCAGGCCAACAAACAGGACAATGAAATTTGGCACGGCTAAAGAGTCTAAGTGAAATATTAAGAAAGCGCGGTGTTTGTTTAGAGAATACAAAGATATGGCAAAGAAGAATGAACGCAACCTTAACTATTGGAAAATATACTAAAAAATAAGTTATGATGGAAAACATACAAAAATTGTGTTTTATTGGAATATTGGAATTTTGTATGCATATCGAGTAAAAACCACATTATGTTATTTAGGTTTTTATAAAATATAGTTTATTATTGGTTTTAGTAATTAAATCCTTAACAAATAGGTATAAAACATCGATTTGTTAATTGTCCGGAAATTCAAATATGTATCAATTGTGTCTTCGTTGGTAACATTTTACAGCGGTGTGGGTTTCGATTTATAGATAGATAGATTCATAGAACTAGCAAACTCTAAGTATGGTACAATATCAATAACGTATTCACGGGTGTGTGGGGGATCATCACAACAAAGTGCTAGAAAAATGATCACAATCGATCACAAAAATTCCAAAATATCATGTCTGAGCATACTTATCTGCTCGTATTAAGCTTAAACTAAAGGCAACATAATGTGTATAACTAACTTGAGCTATGGATAGGCGAATAAAATTTCATGAACACCTTTGCTATGCAATATTAAATTAAGAAGCGACGCTTTAACATTTAGTGTGCCCCAGCTGGATGCTGTGACATCTCATATAGGTACGCGTAATTATCATCAAATCGTCACATAATTGTCACATTATGTTTTTAAATATATCAGGTCCTACATGCAGTACACTTTTTAACATATAATGTCTTCCAATTTCGCCCCCTGCTCAGCACACCTTCTCAATCATTTTCACCAGTTCTTTGTACAAAATACAATCTCGGCTTCGTGGTTTGCAGATCTCTCGATGATCAAGACGAATGCCGCAGACGTCGCCAATTCCAGGATCTGTAAATTATAAAGTTGTACATTTTTAGAACTCGGCAGTTGTTGTTCGTTTAATTATAATAAAAAGTTATTAGGCTAATCTTTAGGCTGGAGTTCTATACTCCATAACTTAACTTATCCTAATCGAATGTTTCTGGCGCAATTCTCCAAAAATCTGCATTCAATTAAAAAAAAATTTTTTTTTTAATTTTTTTGATGTGATGATGTAGAAATTCAAAAAAAATTAAAAAATGTCCCAAAGCTGAAGTTCTAAACTCCATAACTCAACTTATCTTAATCGGATTTTGAAGTGGCATACCTCTAAATGTTTCTTGCGCAATCCTCTAAAAATTTGCATTCAAATTTAGAAATTTTTTTTTTTTTTTTGTCAATTTTTTGATGTGAAATTCGAAAAAATGTCCCAAGGCTTAAGTTCTAAACTCCATAACTCAACTTATCTTAATCGGATTTTGAAGTGGCATTCCTCTAAATTTTTCTTGCGCAATCCTCTAAAAATTTGCATTCAAATTTAGAAAATTTTTTTTTTTTTTTTTTGTCAATTTTTTGATGTGAAATTCGAAAAAATGTCCCAAGGCTTAAGTTCTAAACTCCATAACTCGACTTATCTTCATCGGATTTTGAAGTGGCATACCTCTAAATTTTTCTGGCGCAATCCTCTAAAAATCTGCATTTAAATTTAGAAATTTATTTTTTTTAAATTTTTTTGTCAATTTTTTGATGTGAAATTCAAAAAAATGAAGAAATGTTCCAAGGCTGAAGTTCTAAACTCCATAACTCAACTTATCTTAATCGGATTTTGAAGAGGCATACCTCTAAATGTTTCTGGAGCAATCCTCTAAAAATGTGCATTCAAATTTAGAAAATTTTTTTTTTTAATTTTTTTGTCAATTTTTTGATGTGAAATTCGAAAAAATGACTCAAGACTGAAATTCTAAAATCCATAACTCAACTTATCTTCATCGGATTTTGATGTGGCATATCTCTAAATGTTTCTTGCGCAATCCTCTAAAAATCTACATTCAAATTTAGAAATTTATTTTTTTTTAATTTTTTTGTCAATTTTTTGATGTGAAATTCGAAAAAAGACCCAAGGCTGAAATTCTAAAATCCACAACTCAACTTATCTTCATCGGATTTTGATGTGGCATACCTCTAAATGTTTCTTGCGCAATCCTCTAAAAATGTGCATTCAAATTTAGAAATTTTTTTTTTTCTAATTTTTTTGTAAATTTTTTGATGTGAAATTCGAAAAAATGTCCCGAGGCTGAAGTTCCAAAGTCCATAACTCAACTTATCTTCATCGGATTTTGAAGTGACATACCTCTAAATGTTTCTGGAGCAATTCTCTAAATAACTGCATTTAAATTTAAAAATTCAATTTTTTTAAATTTTTTTTGTAATTTTTTTCATGTGAGATTTTGTGGAAATTCAAAAAATTAAGAAATGTCCCAAAGCTGAAGTTCTAAACTCCATAGCTCAACTTATCTTAATCGGATTTTGAAGTGTCATACCTCTAAATGTTTCTGGAGCAATTCTCTAAATAACTGCATTTAAATTTAAAAATGCAATTTTTTTAAAATTATTTTTGTAATTTTTTTCATGTGAGATTTTGTGGAAATTCAAAAAATTAAGAAATGTCCCAAAGCTGAAGTTCTAAACTCTATAACTCAACTTATCTTAATCGGATTTTGAAGTGGCATACCTCTAAATGTTTCTGACGCAATCCTCTAAAAATCTGCATTCAAATTTAAAAAATTTTTTTTTTTAATTTTTTGTCAGTTTTTTGATGTGAATTTCGAAAAAATGCCCCAAAGCTGAAGTCCTAAAATCCATAACTCAACTTATCTTAATCGGATTTTGAAGTGGCATACCTCTAAATGATTCGGGCGCAATTCTCTAAAAATCTGCATTCAAATTTAGAAATGAACTTTTCGTCATTTTTGTAATGTATGATTTTTTCAATACGATCTATAGAAAAATAATCCGCTATCATTTTGTATACATATGATAACGGAAACTATTCTAAAACCTATAGGCATTATTCGGATAAGTACTAACCCGCTGAGTCCACTCCCACAATGCGAAGATACAGCACCGACATGAGTGTCAAGGCAGTCTCCACGAAACTAAAGACTTCGATCTTTAGATGACCCAGATGGTACAGTCCCGCAAATCTCCGATGTAAGTCCAGCAGGTACTTGTTATCTATGGAAAACAACATCACAATATTAAAACTGATATTTCTTATCTGATGCATCTATTTGGCCTTACTTTTTTCAATCTCTAGCAGCTCTACGGAGCGCGAGAGTAGTGGCGCCTTGATGCTGGCCAAGTGGGATCCTCGATGGGGCACCGAGTAAAAGAAGCAACCGCGAGCAGATCGCCAAAGCGGCGTCATCACAGGACGACCGCTCTCCCAGGCATCTACCATCAGTTGCTTGATAAAGAGTCCGCCCTTCGAGTGGCCCACATAGATAATTGGACGACCATGGCCCACGCGATGCTGGATGAGCAGCTCGGCCATTTCGCGAGACCTTTGGATCAAGCTGGAGCGCGGCTCCTTGCTCTTCCACAGCGGTCGCCAAAGGTACTGATCAGTGGTGTAATTTAGGGCTATAACCCGCACTCCAGGACAATCCAGAGGTAGCCAGTCCCCAGGCCAGCACTTGGAGTAGTTTGGATCGTTTGGAGATGGCTTGCTCTTGCGGGCGGCCTTACGAGGCGTGGCTGGTGATGAGGGACGCGGGCGGCTATCCTTCCCATTGGTCCCCTCCCCTGCATTACCATTGGCCTGCAGCATGGACTCCAACTCTGCCTGTAGCAAACGGCTGTTGTCCTGCATCCTTAGCCGAAAAGTGGGAAAGCTGTACTCGATGCCCTCGCAAATCTGAATTTCTTCAGGCGCGCCGCACACATAAGCATAGCTATTTGGGGAAAATATTTTAGCAACTCTGTTTATAACAATTGCTCCTATGATCTTACTCGCTGTCATCGCTATCGGAAGCATTGATCTGGAGGTCTTCCGGGTGCATTGGCACGGATCTCTGGAGCCGCGTCCTTGGTCGCACTGGAGAATCGTCCGGGGTGTCCATGCATCGGTTGAGGGAAGCAAACTTTGCTCTCTTCTCCCGCGGAGCCGGATGAATTGCCGCACTGCGGGAGTGCCGAGGTCGTTTCGGTGGACGTACTGGCGGACGTGGAGGCCTT